GATATATTGTGACAAAAGGCGTTACCTAATTTATGTAAATTATATGATTGTGTAGAAAAAAAAAAAAAAAAATTTTTTTTGAAATAAATGCACACGCCCATGAAAAATAGATGATGATCATGTTTGGGAGACAAAAATTTAAACTTTTTGTTGTTGTTGCTGTTGCTGCTGTTGTGGTCCAATCGATAAACACTCCACTATTTTTGGATTATAATAATGGATAAATGACTGGTTAAGAGCAACACATACACACACACCACTTAAATAAAATTTATATCAAATGAAAAATTTAGTTTCGAAATTTAGTTTTTTGAAATAAAAACATTTGCTATTTCGACCATTTTGTGATTTGAAATAAATTTTTTTTTTTGTGAAGGAAAAAAAACCCGAATGATATGGCATCAATATGAATGGTAATAATAAATTATATAAAAGAAAATTAATGACCATTCATTCATCTTCATTTATGTTATTTCGTCATCATCAACATTTGGATTTGGATTAATATTATCATCATCATCATTATCATTATCATTATGGCTGCTATATTGTACAAATGTAATTCTGTGATTCTTTCCCTTTCTCTCTGGTGGTGGTCATGTGTTTTTGTATGTCAATGAGAAGTTTTTTTTCTCATTCTCGTAACTAAAAATCAAAACATTGCATTTCAATGCAATGTGCACATTGTACAGTGATGAAATGAGAACAAAAAAAAAATCAGAAAAACTTACTTGAATGAATGGAACTCTTGATGCTGTTGAATTGGTACGAATTTTTTTAATATATGAACAACCATAACCATTATCGGCAATTGTAAGGCCAAGAAATTGTTCACTTTTTCTAACTTCAACATCTTTACGTCGACCTTTTCTATGTACAAATACAATATCATTAGGACAAATCTGTCCACAAAGTACTTGATCCATATCGATTTTCGGTGTATTCAATGTACAATACATTATCTATGATGATGGTTGTTTTTTTTTATCACCATCAGGAAATATGAATTAAGATATAATTAATTAATTAAGATTCGATGACCTTTTTATACACATATACACACCTCTTTTGCTGATATATCAAAACAATGGGCAATTTTTTCATAAAGTTCAATCATTGATGAAAAATTTGATATAAAACATGTTGGTGAACCTTCAGCCAATAGGCAACAAATTTCCTGTGTAATAATATCGGTTCTGGTTATATTGGAATCATTATCACAAAAAAAAGAAGAATTGGAAGAATCGCCATCAACATTATCATCATCATGATGATTTTGATTATTGGTAATGATCACCATATTTTGATGATGATTTCCATTAAATTCTGTAGAATTTCTTATTGCATCCACAGAATCATTGTCATTATTGATTTCAGAAATCATTGTATCTTCAGATGTGGATGAAGAAAAATCACGAGAATTTGATGATAATGATGATTGTTTTGATGAATTTGGTGAAACAGGTGAATCATTGTCGCTTTGAATTGTAGCTGAACATGGTATAATAGAAGTGATTAATGTTGTTGTTGTTGTTTTTGTTGATTTTGATGTTTTCATCGAAACATTATTATCACATCGTTGTTTTGGTTGTACAGGATTCACCTGATAAATAGCCGAATTATGACCATTAAAATATTGAAATAATGATTTTGGTGTCACAAAATGTACAAGATTATGATTATTGTTATTACTGATCGAAGTCGAAGTCAATAATGATGATGGTGGTGGTGGTGATTTTTTGATGGTGCCATTGTCAGAAGATAGTGGGCAAAAAAAAGACATTTACAAACAAAAACTCTTTACACTGAGACGATTTTTGAGAAAAAAAAACGAGAAAAGAAAAGAGAAAAATCAATTTTGATTACATTGCATTAATGAGCAAGCTCGATACAATTGAATGAACTTTGTGACACCAAAAACACACACACACACACATGCATGCACAAACACAAAAGGCAAAATATTGAAACTTGAACACACAGTAACACACACATAAACAAAGTCAAAATCTATTATCGACTAATATTATTGATGATGAGAATTAGTCGACCTTTAATAAATTGATTGAATTCATTCGTTTTCCAGTAAATTATATATGCTCACCAAATCTAGCGGTGTGTTGTTGTTGTTGTTGTTGTTGATTACACCATCATCAGCCAATCATTAGATTAATAAATAAACATCGATGTTGATGATGATGATGATGACGATAATTGTATAGTAAATGGCCAAAGAAATTCAAAACCATGCCACCATTTCACATATCTTTTTTTCTTTCTTTTCTCATCATGATGATGATAATTACCAATGTTGTCGATGGCAATGATGATGACAATAAAATTAAAACCAACAACAACAGCAACCATCCACATCCACCACCACCACCACCACCACCATCATCACCAACAACAATGGAACCACAAATTCAAATAAAAATACAATAACAATACATCCAGATCTTGAATGAATGAAAATTTCTCTTCAATTTAATTTCGTATATCTTTCTCTTTTGTGTGTGTGTGATATCATGTGTATCGAATAGGAAATTCATTCCAACCATTTGACCGATGGTATAATGATGAATGTAATGTAACAGGAAAAAAAATGAACTGAAAAAATTTTACCTTCATCATATCTTGAAGCAATAATGAATGATGTTGATGAATCCTGTTATTTATTCATTCATTCATTCATTTATTTGTACAATAATACATACACACACAAACACAAACAGGTGATAAGCTTTTTTTCTGGATCTTATCATCATCATCATCATCAATTTAAAGTTAATCACATTATTATATTTAGAAGCCATTAATAAATGATCATTAACCGAAAATCTGGCTAATATTACTCTGTGTGTGTATATGGTGTGTTCTCTCCACCGAATCAATCTTACTTTGTTTATATTCAACACTTATTCTTTATTCTTGTGTGTGTGTGTGTGTGTAAAATGTTGTTGTTTTGTTAGTTACCATTTTTTCATTATGGTCATTATATTAACTACTTTTGTGTGTGTGTGTTTGTTTGTTTGTTTGTTTGTTTTATCTTTAAATACTATTCTCTAAAGATTTCATCAAGATAAAATCTATGGTGCTAAACAAAAGATCCAGGACAAAAAAAAAGAATGAAAAGAATTATTCCAATTTGTACACCAAATACACCACCACCACCAATATCAATAGTCAGAAATTCACTTAATTATATCCATAAGGGAATCGAATACAGTAGTAATACGAATTAATGTAAAAAAATTTTTTTTTCATTAATCGGATTCTTTTGTTTTGTTTGTTATTATCATCATCATCATTTGTTCTCGTTATATTTTTTTCCTTAAAACTCTTTGATTATTATCATTTGGAATGAAAAATTCTTTCTATCCTGATTTTGCACAACAACGACAACAATAACAACATACGATGTTTGTGAAGACAGTAAAGAATTAAGAATTCTTTCCATTTAATGAAAATTAATTTAGTCCACCAATAATTGATGGACATCATCATCATCATCGCTAGAATGATAAAACGGACAAATTCATTTTGGTATTTTTTTTTCTCATCGGTGACAATTTTCGTCTTTATTTTAATTATAATTATAATAATAATCATCAGAAATAGAATCAGAAAAATCACCAATCAGTGTGTTTGGGCGTATGTTGTAATCAAATGTTTTTTATGTTCACAAAAAAAAAATGAAATAAAATCAATGGAAGGGGAAAAACAACAACAAAAAAAATATATTTGCAAGACAACAACGATCCAATAAAAAGATAGAATAAATACAATTCAAACGACAGTGAGATGGATAAATTTTTCAATTGTTTTGAATGAAAAGAAAAATAGGTGATTTGAGGACAAGTGGTTAAATCTACTACACTTGTTACATGTAAAGAATAAGAATTGAATTTCTGTTTATATAGGCGCCAATCGATAATCATTCTGAGATTTATTTAATAATAATAATGATAATAATCAGCAATAGAATTTATGTAAATTTCGGGTATATATATGCGTTCAAACAAATAAAGAATGGTCCAAAATGTATGGATTTTACATATTATCTCTGTGTGTGTGTCCGTGTGTGTGTGTTTGTCTGATTCATTGATGATATAAGCCATATATGATGATAATTCAAAATGAAAAGAGATGGAATTTTTACGTTTGACATAGAAACATTGATTATGATGATGATTTTCTCATTGAAAATGAAAATTTTTTTTTTATAATAATAAATTTCTATATAACTAAATTGATCAATATGAAAACATCTAGTGAATTTATTTTTTTGTATTTATAATCTAATATTATTAATTGAAAAAATACGACAACAACAAAGAGAGAAACTAGACATTCATTCTAGGTGTAATTTGTGTCTATGTGTGTGTGTGTGTGTGTCATTTGCATAATAATCATATATATATTTAAATGATGTGAAAAACAACAACAAAAAAACTGCCCAAAAAAAATTATAATGAGATTTGTACCTATGTTTGTTTGTTTGTTTTTTTTACATACATAATCGAGGTAGTGTGTGTATGTATGTGTGTGGATGTTTTGTTTTATGATTATAGTTTCGAAAAAAAAGAACAAACAAACAAACAAACAAAAATATTTGAAATCCAAAAAAAAAAGAATATTTAACTGCACGCAAATGTGATTTGAGATGATAATAATGATGATGTTTTGAAATTTTCAAAATAAAATTCTTTTTAAATTTATTCCTGGTAGTGATGGATTCAACAACAAATAAAGAATTTCCATTTTTTTTTTTGATTTATCACCGTTGTTACACCTGTAAAATTACATACAAACATTGAATTTTTTTTTCTGAAAAAAATATTCTTATCCAAAAATCTTATTTGTCGATTTGTTGTGTTTGATCGATTTAAAAAAAATTGGATTTTTTTTGCTCTGATTTTGATGGTTTTTTTCCACATTTGGATGAAAATGATGATGATGATGATGATATGCTAACAATGACAATGACAATGATGATGATGATGATGATTGTTTAAAAGAGAAAAAATAAGACAATGATAAGCTGGGAAAAAAAGAAGAAAATTGTTCGTAATGGAACGGATGTTATGGCGATGATGATGATGATGATGATAATGATAATATCGATGGTTGTTTTTAATGATAATAAGAATATTTTTGTTTTTGTTTGTTTGTTTATATGTTTGGCATTTTATGAATACTTTCTTTATCATGAATTCGTTCACTTTAGACATCTTAACTTAATGTAATTGTAGCCAAGCTCGATCGACCAATTGGACGTTGATCCAATATCTGTCCAGAAGATAATTGTATAGCTTGATGTACAGATGAATGGCTATCTTTACGTTGTTGTTGTTGCTGCTGTTGTTGTTGTTGTAATAGATCATTTGTTTGTATAACGGATACAATATGTGATGGTTGTGATGGTAATTGTTGCCCTTGTTGTGTTTGATAAATAATCGCTGTATTCGGTTGTTGTTGTTGTTGCGGTGGTGGTGGAAATTCTTGATAATGTCCATGATGATGATGATGATGATGTTGATGTTGAATTGATGATGATGGATTTATACCACCACCAATGGTTGCCATAGATCCTATGGCACCTGTTGCTGTCATCACAATATTTGGATCATGTATAAATTCAATATTTGTCGATGGTGTCATCGATAATTGTGTTGATGTAGTAGATGGTGGTGGCGGTGGTGGTAATGATGGCGTTGTCGATGATATTGTAACTAGATTTGTATTATTTATTAATGATGTAGATGATTTTTTTGTCATCAATGATGATGATGATAATTTTGATGATAATGGCGTTGGTGGCTGTGATGAATTGGCTGATGAATTCTGTGATAAACCAACACGGCTATGTTTTTTACAAAATTTTGCCGTCTGTTCTTTATTATCGACAATATAATTAAATTGATTTTGACCACCACCACCAGTGTTTGTTGTTGTTGTTGTTGTGTACCACTTTTATTTATTGATGATTTATGTGAATGTAATGATAATACGGATGGTTTACCGCCAGATGATGGTAATGATTGTAAATTAATTGATTGATGATGATTAACATGATTTAATGAATGTGTTGATGGTTGATGACCATGTTGTTGAGTGATGGCTACATTATTATTATTATTATTATTATTTGTTGTCATTGATTCTGATGATTGTACTTGTTCGTTTGTTGGACGTTTCTTAAGGCGATACCATTTACGTAGATAAGATATCAATATAAATACCAATAATAGTAGAACCAAAAATAGGAAAAAACCAATAACAACCGCCAATCCTTTATATAATTCCGAATAATCTGTATCATACCCTGTGAAATGAGAAATGAAAAATGTTAATTTCATACAAATACATGAAAAAAACCATATTTTCCAACAAAACAAAACAAAAAAAAAAAATGATTGATGCCCTGGATATAAATAGTAATCGTTGAAAAAAAAAGAAACAACGATACCAAATTCGAAAACAGGAAAAAAACTGGGGTTACCCAAAAAAAATGAAATAAAACAAAACAAGATAGATATCCAAGTTCCGAAAAAACCAGAAAAAATACTGGTTCACTATGATGATTTTGTTTGGAACAACAACAACAACAACAACAAAAAGTTGATAGTAGCTCTAGCTAACGGATGTGATAACCAAATGGTATTCGTATTCTCCAAAACACAATTGATGATGATGATGATGATGATGATAAAATAAATTACAACAAAGAAAAAACAATGAAACAATACAAATAGGATTTTCATATATTCATTGTCATTGCCATTGTTTATTGCTGTTTTGTCATCATCGTTTGTTGTTGTTGTTGTTCATCGTTTGTTGTTGTTGTTGTTGTTTTGTTATCATCATTCATTCATTGATGACGAGACATTAACAAAATGTTTTTCTTTCTCTTCACCAAAAAAAAAAAAAAAATTCCATATTCAGAGCAAGCCATTATTAATATCATTATCCAAAAAGAAAATTCTTCACGCTTTTTTTTTCTTTGAAGAATAAATGAATGATAAAATTGATGGGAATTAACCATCCATCGTTCCATCATCATCATCATCATGACGATCATTATAAGAATAGTCATCAACATTCTTTGATTCATTGGAAAATTCTGTTGTTTTTTTTTATTATTATTATTATCATTTCGATTTGTTCAAATTGTCAATGGTTGTGTATTGTGAACATCTAAATCAATGTGGATGACCCTTCTGTGTATATCATGTCAAATGAATGGAGGAGAAAAAATATCGATAATTACAACTTTTTTTTTGTTATTGTGAGCTTGACGTGTTAATTCATGTGTGTGTATAAAACAACAACAGCAACAACAAGTGATGAAAAAAGATGAAAATAGAAAAGTTTTCCATTTCATATGGATCGGATCGATATTTAATCCTAGGTTGTAGTAAAAAAAAAAAAACAGAAATAACCAGATCTTTTTTTTTTTTTTACTAGCTCTCCGTCTCATCATCATCATCATCATCAAAAGATGATTATAGCTGATAATATCAAATTTCAAATCTCTCTCATAAGGCAATAGACATTATCATTATTATTTATAGAATTTATTGAAAAAAAAAATCAAATTTCTCTGAAATCGGGTCGAATGAGTGAACAGAGAAAGAATTAGTGAATAAATTCCAGAATATTGTCATACATCCATTTGAAGGGGCGTTAACGACGAAAGGGGAGGAGATACAAAAAAACATTTTCATTTACACATACACACACACAGTAAAGCACATTAAATAATAATTTACAAAACTTCATCATCATCATCATCATTCATGAACGGATGAATGAATGAATGAATGAATGGACGTGAAAAATAAAATTCAGAATAATTAAAACGTCATCAACAGCTTTGTTTTTTTTTTTTTTTTGCTTGGTCATATGACGATTATTCTGGTGATGGTGGTGATGATGATGATGATAATGGAAAATTCCATTAGATTATAAATAATAAATTGCTGATCTCATACATGAGAGAGAGAGAGAAAAAAATGCAATTTTCTCACAAACAAAAAAAAATTCTTTAGTTTTTTTCTTTTCATTCAATTCTAGTCAATTTAAATCCTTCGATAATCTTGATGGTTGAAAGAATATGGAATTTTTTTTTTGGCTGGCTTTAGCCCATTTGTTGTTTCACTCGTGTTTTGTTTCTATTTCGTCATTTTTTTTCCATGACTAGGTGTTGTCGTACTATCGATAAAAGTATGAAAATCCTTTATCGACTAAAAACTGGGAAAAAAACCAAAATAAAAAAGATTACAGCCCATCCAATGAATTGAATGGAAAATTTATTGACACACATCACATCTTCCTTTTTCAGATTTAGAATCATAACCGATTGCATGCAATATTTAAAAGACATAAACGAATATATATCAAACTGAATAACAACTATAATTAATGGTGACAAAAAACATGGGAAATTTCCCTGGAAAATTGATCCAAAAAAGAAAGAAAGAAAAGACTAAAGTCTTGTAACACAAAAATATAAAGCACCACATTATCATCATCATTATTATTATCACAAAATTCAAACGATGAAAATAACAACAACAACAACAATAAATATCAATCGAAAAAAATCGAAGGATAAAACAAAAATCCCCATCGGAATTGGTGATAATCACAAATAACAAACAATAAGTTGCAGGAAAACAATCATCACATCGATTTGCATCGTTGTATAAACACATACAAAAAAAAAAAATACAATTCGACATATTGACACAATCAATCTATGGGACAAAATCAATTTAGATTTGTTTCTTTTCATCCTAAAAACATTCAAAAAAATCCATGAATGTCGTTACAATATTCAAAAAAAAACTAATCTTAGATCGAAAACAAAATCCTCACAACAATTTGGATAAACGAAACGAAACGAAACGAAAAAAAAAACAAATCAACGATAACAACAACAACAACAACAAAAACATGTTGATTGGAAATGAAACATGGATTTAGTCATGATGCAGATGAATCGAATCGAATCGAATTTCCCATGTTTGATTTGAACGCATAGATTTGTTTTGTTTTGATTGAATATTTGCAATTTTGAATAGGAAAAAAAACAACAACAACAACAAGAATTGAATGATGATAAAATCCGTGTTTGCCACTTTTCGACAAAGTATCAATAATAATAATAATAATAAAAAATCCAATTCCATGAAACAAGAAAAGAAAAACAAATAATAAAATTGGCAAAATCATTGAGTATACTTAATCGAGCAAAAACAACAACAACAACAAAAAAAGGTGTTCCTGTTTCAGTTCCGCAAAAATTATTTTTTTTTTTTTTTTTTCAAATAACAACAACAACAAAAAAAAAATTCTCGAGAAAATTTTCCACTTTTTTTCACCAAAAAAAAACTTTTAAAAAATGGACTGAATGCCGATGATGATGATGATGATGATGATCAAGTCGACACTGAATTTCCGGACAATATGTTTACACATGGCCGCCATTATTTTTTTTTTCTTATTATTTTCCATTGAAATTTGATATTATACAAACACAAAGTGTCATTTAATGACACAAACAAAACACATCGAAATGAATCGTTTTTTCATTTTTTTTCTGATTCTTTAAAATGTTACTAATTCTGTGCGAAAACGTTTTCTTTATTACAAAAAAAAAAGAATTTTTCAGAATCAAAAAAAAATTCTCTTTTTTTCGGATCTAAAATATTTATTCGTCGGAACAGAATCGTCATGTTTCAACCGGATGTTTCACAAAAAAAATATAAAACATTTGTTCTGTTGTTGTTGTTTTTTTTCAGTGAAAAAAAAGTTTTTCATTGTCATTTAAATTCAGTTTTTTTCCCTGTCAAACATCATAATTAAACATCATCCTGGTGATGATGATGAAAAACAATGCAATATAATAAAATGATCCATTTGGAATCAAACAAAAAAAACTGGACAATTTTTGAAACTTTCAGATTGAAGAATTTTTTTTTTTGTCACGGCTACTAATGATAGTATTTGTCTGGTATAGCAAAAAGTGATAATGAGTGCAGCAACAACAACAACAACAACAAAAAAATAAATGGAAATTTAATTGAAATTAATTTTTTCGTAGAAAATTTTTTTTTCAGACTTGTTCGACAACGACGTCGACGACGACGACGACAAACAAGATGCGACCATAATCAAGTGAATGTTTTCATTTTTTTTTTTTTTGTTTTCGTCCCAATTCCATAATAATGATTATGCAGTCGTCGTCGTCGTCGTTGTTGTTGTTGTTGTTGTTGTTTTAACAATCGTGTTGTAGTTGTCATTTTTTTTCCATCCCTGAGTCTGATTATTTGACAATGTTCACGGAATTTTTCTGTACTTTGTTTGGTCGTTTTTTTTCATTTTCTGGCTGGCAACATTGACTGGGTTAGCAGAGAAAAAAAATTCACAAAACTTTTCGTTTCCAGAATACATTGAGAATCGTGTTTATGGATGGATGAAAAAACTGTGTAAAGGTTTTTTCGGAAATTTCTCTCTCTCTCTCTCATTCGATGATACATCTCTCGAGATTTTCGATGATGAAAGAGTGGTAAAGAAAAAACTTTAATGTAATCGGATAATGAAATATCATGACACAGACACAGACACACACAAAACGATATAACGAAATCATCATTGATGATGATTTAAGTTTAATAGATACGGTAATTTTATTTCAAATGAAACAGCAGAAACCAAAAATAAAAGAGCATGCGTACATCGTAATCATCATATGATGATATACCTGTGATTTTTTTCATCTCATAGGAAGCTCAAGGGAATCCAATCATTATTATCATCATCATCATCATAATAATCATAAATTACCGGTAATTTGTTTGAGTGTGCCGATATTCTGTCATTCTGTAAAATAAACGAATCTGATTCGATTTCGGCCTATGATTTTTGCATTATTGTGATATGTAATGATATTATCATTAGTTTTTTTTCCAACATTTTTGCCTAATTAGACTTTTATTTCAACCTCCACTATCCGGACACGATTTATAGATGGTGATGATGATGATGGATTCTTTGTTATTCCACTTCAATTATATGTCGATTATTTCAAAAACGTGCTTATTCTTTTTTTTTTTCTTTTTTGCAAATTTTTAACAAACAGAAAAAAACATTTTTACACAACACAGGAAAATCGATCGATTTTCATTCACAGAACCAAAGAATAGAAAAAAAAATGATGAATGCAAAAAACGGGAATTTTATTTCACCGATTATAATAATAATAATAATAATAATAACCGAAAAACAGGAAAAAAACATCGAGATTTCATCATTATCTTT